AGATTCCGGAAACAGAAACACCGACAAATTCAAAACCCAAGTGAAATTAAAACCACTGCACCGCGTTGTTGCAACACTATCGAGAAACTTCGATCTGCTTCGACGACGGCAGATTTTAATGACAAACACTGGCAAACTCAAAATGCAAAAGACCGCTGAAACTATCCGCCTAGCTACCGCACTACAGAGCAAGTGTCATCGAGAACCAAGAACCCAGCTTATGAATAACTACGTCGAAGATCCTAAGATCAGTGGATAAGAAGTGGTGGACATGAACTTGCGGGAAGTGCTGGACACGGAGCCGTGGTAAAGAATTCATGGACATGGACTTGTGGACACAAAGTATTGGACATGGAGTCATGGACACAGTTGTGTTTGTGTTTTTTCTCGATGAAGCACTATTGTATATGAATTTTTTCTTGATGAAGCACAATTGTGTTTATCTTATTAATTTTATGGGATAATTTTTGAAATAACCCACTTGATAATTTTATTATGAAATATGACCTTTCCTAAAATGATCCATAAGAGAGATTCACTAGTTTGCTTTCAGTCTGCTGTTAGTCTGCTAGTAATTTACAATTAGTCTAGCATTAGTCTGCCAGTAATCTACATTCAATTAATTGCCCAAACAGTCTACCAGTAGTCTGTTAGTAGTCTGCATTCAGTCTGCTGTTAGTTTGCTATTAGTCTACAAATAACAGTAGTTAAAAAGGTAGCACTGATATTTATAAAAATCGTAAAAAGGGTCATTTTCACAATTTTCCCTAATGATACCCATTTCACATTATTTTATTATTTGGGTCATTTTGAAGCATTTCTTCTAATTTTGTTTGTCCATAGTGGTTGATAAATTAATAGAATGCAATAAAAATTTTAGAAGAACAAAAGAGAGAAACTCTCTGTGATTTTAGTAAACTCAAAATCGTCTCATTACTGGCAATAAACAAATACTTCTATTGTGAACAATTATGAATATATGTAGATTGCAACCTACAAGTGAAGTTTTAAAAACATGATTTATATATACTTCATCCACGAGTAATTGTCTGTTCATTAAATATGTACATGTATCAATACCTTCTTCTTCCAAAATGCAGGAGCTCTGTTTCACATCACGCCAAGCTAGTTACAATATCGAGTTTGAAACCACGTCCATGCGTATTCATCCATATGGATAACTATCAACATCCTCACTATTAATCTTGATAAACATCGTTCATGAGTAGTTGTTGCCTTTAGTTACTTGTTGCCTTGAGTTTTTATCAGTCGCAGACAACCGGCAGGGTAAATCTGTCTTCCTCACCATGTTGGGTTCTCTTCCAGTTCGGAGAAACAACAAAGAACTTCAGACACATCTACCATAAGACATTCAAACAAATTACACAACCTCGATTCAAACATGTACGACCTCTTATATACAACATCATCAAACCGACACCCATGGATGATATATACACACCTCATCCACGCTAAATGACCATGATTGGTAATCTCACCACGAATAATTTCTCGTACACTATACCCTAACCAGATCTACTTCCTACCCTTGTCCACAAATACTCGTCCATCAGTTGTATGGTACATAGTCGCTAGTCCAGGGGTACAAGTCATCTATGGACAGCCATTATGGAAAGGCTGGATGGTTAATTAAACACTTACAATGACGATTACAAATCTATATTATCATGTCCACAACTAATTGTACACAGTTCATCAATCATACATCCTTACAACGGCGACAACCGTTTGATATACCACTCAATGTACAAAATCACAACACAATGTCCACAACAACTTCACAACCACCGACTACAAATCAACAATTAACTACCCATCCAATGGTAAGAACAACTACCTACATAATCAAAAACCACAATACCACTACAGACAAAACCACACGTCCTACAATAAGCAAAACCAGTTGACGGTTTCCTTACCTTCCGTTACGAACCACTTGCTCTACTCAGTCGCTGTCGATTATCCACAAATTCACGCTGTGAGATATTGCTTCTACTGAGGGTTTGGGGAACAAATTTTCCAAACCTCACTCAAAACTTGACACCTGACAATTTTAGATAGGGTTTTGCAAACGAGATCCAGTACCAGATCAGAGAATAGAGATCTAGAAGTCATGGTGTCTCGTTTCTTACAATGTAAAAAGTAACGAAATAAAAAAATACTAATTGACGAGATAATCTTTAATAACACAAACACATGATCAAACAATAAATCGAGGCTATATTCGTCTTCTCATATGCCCAAAGTTATGATGTTCCTGTAGGTGATTTAAACTACAACTCAATTTACCAATGTTACTTTTTAAGTAAATCACTCCATATTATGATCTTCACTTTAAAACATTTAAGATTTGTCTATTCTCCTTTTGATTTACTCTGTCTGTTTTAAGTTTGTAGGAATTATTGTCATCTAACACATTTATTTTAAGACTGGTTGATTTTCTGCCAAAATTTTTTTTTAAAAAAATCTTTCTTAAAAAAAAAATAATAAAAATAATACTTTTTATTGAGCCAACTGTTTCCTAACAGAAAATATGCTAGCTCTAAATTTTTAAACTAAAAACGGACAATTTTTTCTCACTAGAAATGTCTTAATTCTGGAAACAAATTTGATATTCAGGACTTCTTATTTATTTTACCACTATATGCTGATCCTGAATAGGCAATTCCTTTTTTGGTTGTTCCCTACCCTTTACCTTACTTCTTTTTAAACTCCTAACACTCAATTTCTATGATATTATATGTAGTTATGTGCAAAAATGCCGGAGAGAAAAGAACGACACTGTTTTCCAACCATTGTACTTGAAAACACATTTAGGTTGTATTCGTGGGATTCAGAGTTCATTTTTTATTGAGATACCTCAATAAGATACAATCCAGTGTCAATGAAATTCTAAATCATATAAAAAACTTTTTTCCCAAATTTGCAAAAAACAAATACGTGAACAAACTAACGGAAAGGAAACGGTTTACAATTTGAAGAAACTCATGCATTTATAAAGCTCATAAAAATCCATGGATCAACAAGGAGAAAAGACAGAGTTTTTGCAGAGATTCTATCAAAAATCTAAGTTTTGGGGAAGGTATGCGTAAAAAAAAGTTGTTGGAAACTGTGGATATCAATAGGTTCATTTTTTCCTACTGTTTTGCATCGCATCCGGTGCGGAAAATAAATGTACTGCTAAAAAATTAAAACACTTTTTCAAACTTATTGCTAAAAAGCTTTTGAATACATAGCGTCATATTCCATGTATTATATTTTGAAATAAGAATAACTCAACAAACACTTTAATGAATACATGGAGCTAGGTATCTTGAATACATAACCTGTGAATTTATGATTCATATGAAGTATTAGTGATTAGAGCATTTCACTAAGGTGAGAATGTCTTTACTGTGGGTTATATCTAATGTGTTCTAAAAGTCATGAATCAAAGCACAGTTTTTGAGATTTTAGTTTATACATTATCAAACCTGTTTTCCACATATGAATTGTTTTGTTTGAGGACAAACAAAATCTAAAGTCTAAGGGAATTTATATACCACATAATTTACCAATTTTAAGTACTATATTATATATATTTTCAGTATAAAAAAACATATGGGATTCAGTTATAATTATAAATCAATGTTTTTAGGTTCTTTGTAGTTTTTAAAGGTTTTATAGGAAAATGGAGTTTTGGAGCTGGAATGAGCATTTTTGGACACTTGGTAGATTGGACAGTTTTCAAGCATCAGAAGTTCAATGTTAGATAAAGAAATTTTCACTCTTACATCATCACCAAAATTAGGCACAAGATAGACATGGATGTTAACTTTCATCTCTAAAGGATTTAAGGTCAATCGGAATCCTGAATCAGAATTTATGTTCAAAGTACTAAATACTGATAAGTTGTTGATGAAATGGAGCAGCCAGAAGATAAGGTCATCAATCGATCGGATACAATCGACTTGCACAGATCAATTGACCAATTGGTTAGATCTGGACAGAACCATGTCAACAAGCGACCATACACAAAACAGATTAATCGATTGGACCCACAAATTAGTCGATCAACAAATCTAATTGATCGATTGAGCAAGCGATAGAATTGAATGTAGCAATGTATGAATGCAAATCTGATATTCATGGCTGCATCTACTGCTTATTTGCATTTGACACATGTGATCTAAGCTAATAGATGTTTGCAGATCCTATATCACCTCAAAGAATACCTTTATACATAGATGTGGGCTCTAGAATGATAACACTCAAATTTATCCTTAGTTAGCTAAGTCCTGAATAATCTTGTTTCCTATCCCTGTTTTCGATCATGCATCTTACCTCTGTATTTATCTTTGGTTGTATAATATTAATTCAGATGACACCAAAAAAAAAAAACTAAGTTCTAAATAATCTAAACCATAACCTTTAAGGATTTCTTGTCATCAATTAATTATTTTCTAGCAGACCAATTTCCAATAGACCTTTCTCCGACAGATTTCTGATTAAAGTTCTCTTGGAAAAATCCATCAAAAACTAGCTCGTCGAAATCCATAATTTCTAACGAATTTTTATTTTCGCAAGATAACTCCAAAGATTAAAGCTTATCAGAAATCGCTCAAAAATATTAATTTATGATGGTTTGTTTACTTGTAATGATCAAAAGTCCATTCCAGACATCACTTGGAATATTTTATTAGCTCAATTAAAAAATGCATTCAAAAGAAATCAGCCCAATATATAATTATGTAAAGCATTTGATTGAACCTTCTTAATATAAATGAAAGTTGCTGGAAAAATAAAACACTATAAACAAAAAGTATCTTTAATTTCTCATAAAATGACAAATTAAAAATACCATTTCCATTTGAAATTAAAATATGTTATATAATGTCAATCTAGCGTTTTTGTTGATCAGTAAATTAAATTAAATTACAAAGTAAGTAGAATATATAATATTTCCACTGCAAAAAAAAAAATTACTATTTATGTATCGCTTAACAAATTAAAGATGGTGAATATAAAGAGGCGAGAGAAGTAGGAAGAGTGGCCATCCAGCCATCTTGATCAATAAAAGTCTTAGTGTTTACAAGAGAAGCAATATCTTTAGCAGAAAGATTTTTCTCCCATCCAACTCTTCCTTGCTTGTTCGCTCCTTCCCCTGTGCAGTTTACCTCCGCAAATGTAATTTTATCCCTGTTTGGTTCAATAATTATCATTATATGTGTTGGCAAATATGTACCAAATGTAAACACGTATACACACACACTATATATATATATATATATATAAGTAAAAGAGAATAAGCATACGTACTCTTGCCCTTTATAAGACCATGCATCCCATCCTTGAGGAATAACAATATTGGACATTCTGGTTCTATAAAAGACAACTCTAGAGTAGCCTCGGTAAGCTCTTCCCAAGGATGTTTTACCATCTCCTTCAATCACGCAATATTTGAACACAAATCCACTTGTGTCTTGTTCAGTTTTCCTCCCTTGTGCGGTTATGAATCCCGATAGCATTTCTCCTTCGTTCACCCTTACATTTGATGTCACTCCTTTAACGTATATCTTACATTTCTGCTTCCACATAAACTTTCACTTACTATATTCATTTATTCTCATAATTACTTAACTAAAATTGTTGTCACTTGCACATTCCAATTAGATTGCTGTTTAATTTAGCCTTAGTACACAATAACCAAACGCATTTGGTTTGCCCCTTATTGGCTATTGTGGACTAAGACTTGGCTAGTTTATAAATTTTAAACGGCCAGCCCATAAGTTTTATTTTTCTACAAAGCAATATTGGTCATCCCTATATTCAACCAAAGTTTATGAGAGATATAAGATATTACTTGGTATGTAGATTGCCCTCCTCCCCATATGAAGTCGACAGCACCTTCGATGTAACAGTTTTGGAAGTAGTGGCGGCCGACTAAGTCAGCGAGTGTGTCTTGAACACTAATGAAGGTGCAGCCATAGAACCACGCCTTGTCCGCCATTAGTATAATTGATGGTGCTACCTTTAACTCATTATATGATTCTATTGGTGTTATCTTGTTATAAGTATTCTGCACAAACAAGATATCCATTTCATATTATACATTATATGTTCTACATGAAAGGAAATCCTTTCATATGATTATACGTGAAAAATAATCTCAGTAATCTATATAATCATAGAAGAACATGTGAGAGACTCGTATGTCACATACATATTAAAATCTTAATGCTAAAAAAAATTGTCAAAACATTTGTATAAAAATTGTTTTATATTAAATTATCAAGAAACAGTAATTAAAGAACTAGTTTAGAAGATTAATGACTTTTTCTTTTTTCAAATTTTTTTTTTAAACGTACAAGAAAAAATAATAGTGAAATCTTATTTTGAGATCTCGAAAACAAACAAGTGGTAAATCATTCTATTAAGGAACGATAATAATTGACTTAAATTGAATGTAATCACTATTCGTAGAAACTACGTATATAAATGCTAACCTTAAATGTAATATTGATAGCGACGAAGTATTCAGCATATACGATGATCGGACCGCTCGCATTGGATTCGCCTGCATCGTTATATTGAATTATCACTTCTGATGTGGTTTTTCCCTGCATTATTATCTTTTGTTTATCTGCCGGAATCTGTATCTTTTCGCTGCATCAACACATATTGGTAAACCCAACTAGAATTATATATTAATTAATTGCTTGACTCTTTTTTTACTAGTGTAATGCATCTCATAAATATCACGTAACAGTTGAGGAAAAACAAATCAGGTAAAGTAGGAGAAAAGTGAAGATGATAGCTTACTTGTAGATTCCGTTTCGAAGATTAATCTTAATCCAATTCTTGTTACCAGAGGGAATGGAGTCGATGGCTGCTTGGATGGTTTTGAAATCAGCTTCACCATTTTGACCAACAACCACTGTCTTTACAATATCCACGCTCAAATCTTTATGTATTTTATGTTCTAAATCACGAGAAGAGACACTAACCGTCAAATACAAAAATAATAGAGCCAAAAGAGTAATAATAAGAGATTTCATTTGTGAAAGTGAAAGCTTATCTCTATAGACAATGAAAATCTATGAATAAATTAAACTTGAATTTTTTTTTTTTTTGAACGTCTATATATTTAACGGTTGTCTTCTCTCATAGAAAGTACAATTGTATTTTTACTACTTAAATTACACGTCCACTTTAAATGTATGTACATTTCACTACCTAATTCCAAGTATGGTTAAAGATTAAATAATTGATTTCTTAACGAAAAAATGATATACATACAATTAAATCTTGTGTAAATTAGGAGAATTAAGTGCACCTACATTAATATCTGGAACTTGTAAAATACACTAGAAAAAAAATTATAGCAACTTAGGTAATATATATGTATGTGTCTTTGCAAGGTTAAATATAATCTAAAAGATTTATCCAAATAACATAAATTTTTGTAAAAACAGATTGGTAATCTAAAATTTACAAAATTGTTTAACAATAAATTGAATTCTTTTTAAAAAGAAATCTAAAAAAAAAGAAGCGTATTACAAAATATATCTCTAACCAACTATGGCCAGAATTCTTATTGTTCTTAATTGTGGTTCTTGTCGATAACTAGATTAAAACTATCATATACATAAATTTTATAATTATATATTTAAAAATCTGCAAAAATAAATAGAAAATAAATATTATAAAACGAAAACCGAATTACTTATCAAAAATATTATTTTTATTTGTTTGCAATTAAATTGTATTATATATTAATAATTTTTAACGATTTTACTTTATGTTTATTTCTAATGATTTTATTACTTATTTATTTATTTATTTATCTTTTAAATTTGAATAATTGATTACCATATTCTTATTAAAATTATGTATATTTTTCGACCTAAAAACAACTATAACACATATCAAAACTGGCTGATAGACACACATGCGTCACAATCGTTTAAATTATATTGTTATCTGGTTTATAATTAACTATTAGATAATTTATTAAAAAAACCTGAATTTGCAAAAAATACAAAACAAAATTTGATTATTTGTGAACATATAAAAATTAAAATTGAGAATATTTGTGTAAAAATATTCATAATAAACTTTATTTTTCAGTTTGGTAATTTGCAAGGGTTCGCCCTAGTCTTCAAACGCTCCCATGTCCGGAGTTCGAGGTAGCCGCACCAAAGTTTCACTATGCTTATCTCTCTCAGGCGGCAATTCTCCTCCTTTTAATTGGTGTTGCTCCTTCTTCTCAGGTCAACTAATATGCTTCCAAAGAACAACTGTTGCTTTCTCTCCTTCATATTTTCCAGTGAGTTCATGTTCTGCTCTGTTCTGACCTCTTTGTCACGGATTTGATATTTGGGATCACTTCCGTGTAGTCTTAGCCTCTTTTTATCCCAGCAAATAGACTAGGCAGCCTGACTCACAAGAAAACCTAACCCTTTTTAGACTGAACTTGAAAGAAAAAAGGGAAAATGTTTGAATAGCTCTCTTATTCAAGAAATGAGTGAATGATTACAAATAAGGGATCTCACCCCTATTTATACAAAAACACCTCCAAGATGGATGGTGAGGATCAACTTGATCTAAGGGCTCATATTGAAGATATGGCCTTAACTCCAAGATCTGCAACTAATGAGGGCGGATTTGTAGGGATTTGAGCGGATCTGTTGGGATTGATGGGTTGACTGAGCAGATTCTTTGGGATCCTCATAATTGCCATCAACCTTCTAGAAGCCCTTACAAAGCCAGTCATCGTGATAACCTCGAGTAGAGCCTTGCTGGTCCGGTCCAAATAGATGCTATGCAAAATGGGCTGTGACATTCTCCCCCACCTAATTCGGCAACGCCCTCGTTGTCGTGAAAGTCTTGTGCTGGTCTGTGAGTTGCCATAGTTCGTTCTCCGGCTCACATTTTGCTGCCTCTCGTCACCCCTTTTTTCCATCCGTTTGCGGGACTTCTTCAAACAAACCTGGGCAATGTTAGGATGATCATCCCATGTTCTGACCATCTTAACCACTTCTCGACCTTTTGACTTGACCATCGGTGTGACCAAGGTCTGCTGAGTTAACTCCAATAACTCCACGGGTTCTTTGGTTTCCCCTTTGTCTTGCTGACACAACAGGTAAGTCTTCCCCAACTCTTTGCCAGTGGTATCAGGGTGTAATCCTTCCCGATCCTGAGCCGCGACCGTATCCAGGGCATGACTGATCGCCGGAAGATCTGCATGACTGGAGGGAGCTATGTGATGTGGTGGCTCGACTCCTACTTCCATCTCAATCTGATGAACTACCTCCCTCCTTGGTGGTAGCTCCTTGGACAGCTCAGGTGGCATGATGTCTTTGTTCTGCTGAAAGACTGCCTTGATCATGGGTGAAGAGATACTTTCTTCCCCTATCCCATCATCCACTTTCTTTACTCCCTTGGTGAGTTGCATCGCCGAGAGCTGCCTGTTCATGTCTCCTTTCTCCTTGGGCGACTTCACGGTTGGGATCATGCATACTGAACCCTTTTCAAGTATACAGACTGTGTTAAGGGCAGGCATTGAGATCGCCGAGACTTGCCTCTGAAAGTCTAAACCCAGCACTACCTTGAAGTCATCCATTTGCGCCACTGAGAAGTTGACCGGACCCTTCCAAGCTCCCACACTAAGCTTGACATCCCTGGCGACTCCCTGTAGTGGTTTGGCTTTGGCGTTCACTGCTTTCAGCCAACCCTCACCCTTGGTCCATGTGAGACCAAGTCTTCTTGCTTTCTCAACTGATATGAAATTATGGGTTGCGCCCGTGTCCACCATCGCTTGTGTTGGTTGCCCGTTAATGACGACTTCTACATACATCAATCCCTTACTTGTTACTTTGGACACTGGAGTTATCCTTAGGGCATTGAGCAGTTGAAGAGATCCCATCATCTTGACCTCTTCCTCTTGAGTTTTGGCCTCTCTTTGCTCAAGAAGGGTGGACAAAGAACCCAGTTTTGGGCACTCCCTTGCTGGGTGTGGTCCCTTGCACACATAACATCCGCTTCTCGGTACAAAAGTGCGCTTCTTCGCCTCGTACTCTTCACGCCTCGAATCTCTTCCCTGGTTCCGAGCCTCATACCCGTCACGCCTCGAGTCTCTTCCCTGGTTCCGAGTGTTAGACGGTGTCACCTGGTCCTGCTTTTCTTCCTCCAAAGGTCGAACCACCTTTTCTTTTCTCTTGAAGTCCTCTGTCTGGTTTTCCTCATAAAAATCAGAAAGAGATTCAGCCGCGGCAATGGCTTCGTCCACAGACTTCACCCCATGCCGCTGCAACTCCTGTTTAGCCCATCCTTGGAGCCCATCCACGAAATGAAACACCAAGTCTTGGTCGGACAGATTTGGAATCTGCAATGAGAGAGTAGTGAAATCCTTGACATACTCTCGGATTCTACCCGTCTGTCGAAGTTCCCTCAGCTTCCTCCATGCCTCATAGACTACATTCTCCAGATAGAACTGCCGCTTAAGTTCCTTCCTGAACTCCTCCCATGTGTTCATCCGATATGTGCCCCTCTCGATGTCACCGTGGCGCCTCCTCCACCACACTATGGCCGTATCCGTGAGGTAGGATGTGGCCGCCTTGATCTCTGCCGACTCATCGGTAAGACCAAGATTATCAAAGTACTGCTCCATTTACCACAGGAAGTTCTCAACTTCCTTAGCATCCCTTGAGCCATCAAAACGGGAGGGTCTCGGGAAATCCACTCTTCCCGTCCCGGGGTTGTTGGTACCTCCATTGGCAACTACCTTCTTGCACAATGCCAGATCTTCTTGCATCACCTCGATGCTCACCTTCAACGACTGGACCGCCCCCATCACTGTCTCCTCCAACCTGGTGAATCGCCCCTTGATCCCACCCAAGTCATTCTTGACTTCTGCCATCTCGTTGAACAGTGCGTTTTCGAGTTCAGAAGTCGAGTGTTCGACTCGCTCTAGTCGTTCACCCATATCGGTAATGGCTATCCCCCTAGCCCCGACCTCATCACGGACCTTGCTCCTGTCGCGCTTCCTCCTGGTAATGTTCTCAAGGCCGTCCTGGTCTTCGCCTCCATTGGTACTCCTGAGAACATCCTCGGTGTTCGACATTGCTCGGCCTTTGAACGGAACTCGGCTCTGATACCACGTGTCATGGACTTGACATTTGGGATCACTTCCGTGCGGCCCTAGCCTCTCTTTGCGCCAGCAAATAGACTAGGCAGCCTGACTCACAAGAAAACCCAACCCTTTTTAGACTGAACTTGAAAGAAAGAAGGAAAAATGTTTGAATAGCTCTCTTATTCAAGAAATGAGTGAGTGATTACAAATGAGGGATCTCACCCCTATTTATACAAAAACACCTCCAAGATGGATGGTGAGGATCAACTTGATCTAAGGGTTCATATTGAAGATATGGCCTTAACTCCAAGATCTGCAACTAATGAGGGCGGATTTGTAGGGATTTGGGCGGATCTGTAGGGATTGATGGGTTGACTGAGCAGATTCTTTGGGATCCTCATAATTGCCATCAACCTTCTAGAAGCCCTTACAAAGCCAGCCATTGTGATAACCTTGAGTAGAGCCTTGCTGGTCCAGTCCAAATATATGCTATGCAAAATGGGCTGTGACATCTTGCTGGCTAGCCTTGTCGCTTGTGATGCAGCCTTGCTGTCGTGAATGCTTCCCAACTCCATCGGATCAGCAAGTGCATCTTCAACAGTCGGAGCCCCCAGATCCTCTGGACCCTCCAGATCCACCGGATCTGCCTCCTCCACTGTACTCTGTCTCCACTCTGCCACTCTCTTCAATCTCTATACTCCTCTTCCACCTCTACGGCACCTATGCTGAAGCTTTTGTAGAAGTTTCAGGCTGCTCACCATACGTGAAATCGCCGCCGACAAGGATTCAGATGCTCAGATCCTTCAACTCGAAATCCATCCTTCGCCAGCATATGCAATTGAAAAGAGTATTTTACTGCTCTTGCAATTAAAAACCCTTCATAGCCAGTTGTAGTATAGCTAAGGGTTCTTTGTCAATTCCAAG